GTTTCCAAATCATTTGACATTTATCTAAAATTCGTAATCACAAAATTCACCTTCTGATTGAAGACATACAAGAATGAAAGACCCGTAAGGTCTGCAACAGATTTGGGAATTCGTCCAGACAATTTGTTCCTGCTAAGCCTCCTGAGAATTTATCAAGTGAAATGATCAAATTCAAATAGATCAAAGCAAATCTAGAACGAGAAAGAAAAAGTATAATATTATAGAATACATTATATAATATGGAAACTGGAGTCGATTATCAAGTCAGACTTACAAGTAAGTTAAATTAGTTAAAAAACCAAGAGAACTTGGAATTTGACCGATAAACTCATTGCCGGAGAGGTCAAGAGTGAGTAATTCAGAAAGCTTTCCAATCTCTGCAGGGATATCTCCAGACAACTGATTATTCTGTAATAACCTATTAAGATATCGATAAAGCAAACATATTAAGAAATCCTTTTAGGCAGCCTCTCCATAAACTGCACTCGTTCAGTCAATGTAATTCCCGCTCCATCACCCCCAGCACCCCACACACACCCCAAAGAAGAAAAATATCAGTATCGAACAAGGGAGGGAAAGAGAAAATCCATAAAATGCACTAAGTACAATGCTTCTCTCAATTAAATTGAAGTTAGAGAAGTAACTTTCTACTCTCCCACATAGGATGCTGTCATTGACGAAGAATGAATAGAAGTTCCAAGAAAATTACATAATAATAAGATGACTGGCTAACAGTGAGTCAAAAATAAATAAATAAATAAATGAGAGAGAGAGAGGGTGAAAGACTGCAGTCAATACTAATCGGTCTTACTATGGATGCAATTGACAAACTTCTCATTCAACAAGGTTTTTACTTCACAATTAAAACACATTTTCCAGAAAGAAAAAGGAATTTCCTGCTACCATCCTAAATAGTAAATACATGTGCTAAACTAGAAGAAACAAAAGATCTTTTACACCATGTAAATTGCTCATCCTGAAATTAGGATGCTGAATAGTATTAAACCTAGAAGCATATGTATCTGAAAGGAAGAATATCAACATATTTGGACCCCAAGCAGGATAAAAATGTAAAAATCTTGTTCTTTGTAATTTTCTATTCATTGTGTCGAGTGCTGCATAACGAACACGGGAAGGTCACATTCTGAGCTCTTATATAGTGGCCTACAAGATGCAAAGGAATTAGATGCACTTACATTGTACGAAGGTGGGTTAAGTTCCCGATACTCGACGAAAGGGTACCAGATAATCCCACACTGGCCATTTCTCTGCAAAAGGGGAGGGAAGAAATTCAAGCAAAACAAAAACATCTAAAATGAAAAAAGAGAAGAAACTAGAAATACTTTACAGTGAAGTAACAAAGCCCTCTGAAGAACAGCCGACCATGTTCCAAGTACAAGGGTCTACAGAGTTAATATCCCATCCATCTAATACATGTTTTTCATCTCTCATTTCTCTCTTCATAGACATTAGTGCAGCCACTGCTTGTATAGTACAAGAAAGACCAACTCAATATTCCAATAATTGATAAAGAGAAATGTGTGTAACGTACTGAAATCGCGGGGAATGAAATGTAAAGCTTGCCTTCAAAGTTGACACCTTTGGGTGAGAGGAGACTGAAGGAAGCACCAACCATTGCAACACAGTAAAAAAATTGTGACAGAAAAAACTTCAAACTTCCCATTGGAACCCAAAAGACA